GGTTACCTCTGAAATTTCACGATGTTTTGAGGTTTATGTAAGTTGTGGAAATGTCCATGAAATGTTTTTCGCGGTTTGAAATTTTCTAATTCGGATTTTTATTTTAATTTTCGAATTTGGTTGGAGTAGATAAATGATATTTTCTTCAAAATTGTGGAATTTTTCTGTTTTTGTTTCCCATAAAAATGTAGAAGTAAGATATTACTGGAAACTGAAATTTTCAAAATGAGTTTTAGTAAATGTAGGATACTTTATTTAAAAATTCAAAACCTAATTTCCATTTCATCTTATTTTATCAAACTCTTCTTTTATAAGTCTTCAATGACATTATTTAAAAAAAATATATATTACCCCATTAATCAACCAAGTACATGGGTTTATCGATTTTGGAGGATTGTAGGGTTGAAAGTGAGGTAAAAATCCATTTGGGTGCTATTTTATTTTTTTAATTGTTACTTGATGCAAAAAAAATCATCTAAATCTAACTCTACAAAGACAAATCTAAGTTCCAACTTTAAATTTAGATGGTTTTTTTTTTTTCAAATTTAACTCTAAGAAAAAACAGGTATAAAGACATACCGGATAAAATTAAAAAAATGTCCTACGTTTACTAAAATTCGTTATGTATTTATTATTTCAGTTTCAGAAATCAGAATGAATTTTAAATTTTCAATTTTTTTTTTTTTAAATCGAAACTGAAATTGATTTTCACGTTTGAAAAAGATTGAAGAAATTTATCGACATTGTATCGACTTTCGATCCAATCCGTCCAATTTTCAACTGCGACACTTGCTTTTACCAATGAGACTTTGATCCACCAAATAAACGGCTATGAATGAAGACATCTCTGGTCAACGTAAACTCGTTTATTCATGTTGACTATTAAACCTAGTTGCCAAAAAAAAAAAGACAAGAAAATCAAATGCAGACAAGAAGGAATTGAATGAGATATTGTCGGTTGGAAAATGTACTCTAGTTTCTGAAATTGTTCATATTTGGTCGATACTTGTGCTACACATACCAAATTTAATCTTACTACTAAACATATATACTATTAATTAAAGAAAATATGAAATGGTCAAAAAGTTATACCAGTTGTCTTTTACCTTATTGTTGATGTATTGATAAGTTTAAATATTTAATACAAATTAATAAATAAAAAAATCTTAGTCAAAAGAGCTCCATATTATTTGTCTCCTCGAGAATTTTTTAGCTCAAATTATTTGTCACTTTAGAATTTCAGAAAACATTAAATGTAGTTTTTTTTCTATTTTACCTCTTATCACTTTTAATTACTTAGTTAAAAACACTTAGTAATAAGGGTATTTTAGTAATTACCATATTGTTATACTATAAACTATACATATTTATTGAGTTTATTAATATGTGTGCAACAAAAAAAAAAAAAAAACGATATATAATATGAGATGGAGAGAGTAATTCATACTTCATTCATACTGGTTAATAAAACTAGTAAACATACATTAAGTCTGAGAAAAATATTTGATGTGACTAAAATACCCTTCTAATTTCGTGACATAAAAATTGTAACTCACTGAAATAGCTTTTCAATGCCGCCGGAATCACGTGATTTGGAATCCGGGTGAGAGAGATATGCTCGACTTAATGGACACTGACAAAGATGTTGCGGGGTTTCTTCTTCTGAAGTGACTAAAATACCCTTCTAATTAATTGTTTCACCTTTAATCATCTATCAACTAACTAATTGATTGTCAATAAGTAATAAGGAAAAAAATGAAATCAATGATTTATTGAAAATCAAATAATTCTTGATGATGACAAATAACTTGACATAAAAGTACTAAATAATAAAATAAATAAATATAAAAACAGAAAAAGGGAGAAAATGGTGATGTTCCAAGACATGGCATGAGATGAACACATCAACAAAATAAATCTGCTATTAATTAATATATCTCATTTCCCAAGAAAATTTAAAAGATATGATGTCAGTTTTTTTCTTCATATCTTCTCTCTCTCTCCACAATGACTCACTCAATAATTTTTATTCAATTAACATTTTATTTTATTTTCTGTGATGGGGAATTAATATATATATATAAATATTAAATAGAATTCGAATTTGCATAGAGACTTATTCAGGCTTTCAGCCTGTTGAACAAACAGTAGCTATACATGGAAATATATATATCTACTCATCTCTCTCTCTCTCTCTCTCTCTCTCTCTCTCTCTCTCTCTCTCAGAGACACACACAGAGGCCAGAACACAAAACATGTAATAACTCTGCACATAGTTTGCAGAAATATGGAAAAATGAATATAATTGGCAAAATAAAATGATACAGGATCTATATATTCTTTCCAACAAAACCCTCTTTTCTTTTCTTGTTAAAAGTTTACATCTTTACATAGAGATTCACAATTCTTCATTTTTTTTCAAATTTAAATAAAAATAAAATAAAAAATAAAATATATAACGTAAACAAATTAAAAACCCATATGTATGTCACAATTCTATTATTTATTTAAATATTTCATATCTGCATGATGATCTTTTCTTTCACGCAATTAGTATATATTCACAATAAAAGAGGCATGCATGAAAATGGTTGTGGCATCTTTTTTATTTCACTGCAGTTTAATTTCTTTCTTGGATATTGATGACATTATTATATATAAATATATACATCAAAACACTGTTTAATTTGTGCAATTGCTGTTTGTTCATCTCTCCAGACCTGCAAATTAAATTGACACTTTTGTGAAACAATTTTGCATTTAATATATATACATATATATATATATATATATATATATCTGACTTGCAGTTGAGTGTGAATACATACATACATACTATAAGCCAAAACAAGGCTAAAAAAACAGTGACAATTCATGCATATATATATATAATATATATAAATACATACAAAAATATAGATTTAGTAGTAGCTAGAAATCTATACAGAAAATGCCAAGAAATCTAAGGAGCTAATCTAGCAAATCTAGCCCTAGGTGAAAAGAACAGTTCCCAGTCACACTTAATTATCTGTTTAAAATTAAATTAAAATAATTAAAATAATATATATAGATAATTTTGATGAATATATGGTTTAATATTTTAATTTTCAAGATAATTTCTGACTGCTTAAAAAAAAATTAAAAGGTAACCAAAAAATGAAAATGTTTAACCAGCAGCAGCTGGTTCAATAAGATGCATGAATCTGATTATCTGCCATCAAAATGAAAATCAAGAAAAAAAAAACACACACACACGTACGTGTGTGTGTGTGTGTGTGTGAGAGAGAAAATGGAAGTGTATATACCCGAATCTTGGATCACCAGCAAATGATGGTTGAGGGGAATGAAGCCTGGTCCGAGAGTCATTGACCATGGTTAACTATATATATATATATATATATATATATATATATATATATATATATATATATATATATATAATTTCCCTCCGGGAGAAAAATCACAAGATATACAGAGAAATACATATATATACATACACGAATATACATACAAATGTATATATAATAATCAACACCTCAATGACCTCGAGCCAGACAACACTCCTCTCAACCTTAACCACTCACGAAATTCAGACAGACAACAAAATATCCAGCTGAAAAGAAACCTTTAATTACTAAAATTATACTTTGCATGTGCATGTATGTATTGTTTGTATGGTTTTGAGGGGAATGAAGCCTGGTCCGAAGCATTTCAGAGAATTCTCTCTTTCTCTCTCTACTTTTTATATTCTAAAAAGTTATCTCTCTCTGAAAATCAGCTTCGAGCCAGCCAACATTCCCCTCAACCCCCATTTTTATTTTATTTTCTCTCTTCAACTCATGCTATATACGCTGTCTTTATATATACAAATAATTTAGGGTTTTCTACTTAATTAATGGGGTGGGGTGGGTTGGTGGGTACGGTGGTGTGGGGGTGGGTGGTCATACATAATAATGTGACTTAGTTATAAACATGCAGTGAGAGAGATCTAGAGAGAGAGAGAGAAAGAGATGAGAGAGAGAGGGGCACATACATACCAACAGGAACTGACTCAAATCTAAACAAAAATTGCTTATGATTCTGATGTTGATCCTAATTAAATTAATCTCTGCAAAATTGCATTAATTAAAAAGCTCAACTAAATCCCATGTAATAATAATGTTAAATAAATTAAAAAAAAAATTAGGTCTCCCAAAAAAAAAAACCTAGAAAAACCTGAAAGTTACTTATTAACCTAATAAATACAGTACTTTATATCTATATATCTTTCATTTCCTAGGCTATGTATTGTAGCTATGACTTTATGACTCATACACATTTATATAATTAACTCTTGTTTCCAGTCAACTAGGCAAAACCTGTTCTCTCTCTCTCTCTATCTCTTTCTCTCTCTTGGTTTTTCAAGAAAAAAAGTATTCAGCTTTTGTATCACAGTCAAACACACACAACAAGACAAAATTTAAATTAATTTAAATTAAAAAAAGAAAAAAGAAAAAAGAAGAAGATGTATAGTGATATATATGAATTTAAAAAAGCACTTTACACGAGAAACAGAAGAGTGATTCAGACAGAACCCTCCAATCTAATAAATGCGGATTCTTACATCACTGTTTTTCATCATTACCTTATTATTTTTAGCTTCCTCTCTACACCTACTTTTTTTTCACTCTCTTCTCTCTAACATCAATTAGTTCCTCCTTTTTTTTTTTTCTTTTTTTTTTTTAATATAAATGGTATTTTACGTTTCTACCTTATGGTTAAATTGCGAAAAATTCATTTATATTCGGGTAATTACAACCGGCTTCCATCAATAATACATTGTCAGAATATGCGGAATATAATATACTCTAGGTTGCATCTATTGTAATTTACCCCATTCGAGCTCCA